TGAAAACATAAAGTAAGTCAAACATACACATACTTGCAATTTTAGGTTACACCTTAATAATTGCAGATATTGGATGTTGTTTGTGCTTGTAAAAAACCATACAGCATGTCATCTGGAGAAATTCTCTTGGCTTTGGCTCTGGGAGTTCTATAATAATTCTCTTTTCACTCCATCAATTAAGAAGCTATTGAGCCGGGGGGGAGGTTGGGGGTTAATGGGGGGGATGAGGACACATTTGTAATGCCTTAACTAATAATAAATAAAAAAAAAAGAAGAAGCTATTGAGCCCTAGCTGGTTTGGCTCCATGGATAGACCGTCAGCCTGCAGACTAAGGATCCCAGGTTCGATTCTGGTCAAGGGCACATGCTGGGGTTGCGGGCTTGATCCCCTGTGGGGGGCATGCAAAAGGCAGCCGATCAATAATTCTTTCTCATCATTAATGTTTCTATCTCTCTCCCTCTCCCTTCCTCTCTGAAATTATATATATATATATATATGCTATTGAATGACTGTTATTTCCAAAACCTAGTTGGTGGGGCGTAAGGGTCCTTTCAAGTGTCAACAGGTCTATAACATTTTCATTAACTTCAAGTACCAGATGCAATACATAGAAAAGATCAGATCCCAAGTTTCTGTTGTCATTTGTTTTTAAAGCCCCAAGTCTGCCAATACAGAAAAGTGATATAACTAGTTTTTCCCCAAGAAGTCAATCTATCTGCCTTGCAACCTGTAATTAAGACTGTTCTGATTAAGGAAGCTGAAATTTTTCTCTGGGAAAACTCTCTTTTCTGTAAAGGACCAAACAGTAAATATTTTGAACTTGCAGGTCACAAAGCAGCAACTAGTACTCTGCTGTTGCAGACTGCAAGCACTCACAGACAAGAGGTAAATAAATGTGGTGGCTCTGTTCCCACAAACCTTACTTGTGGACACTAAAATGTGAATTTCATATAAGAAATTTTCATGTTACAAAATATTGTCTTTTTTGCAACCACTTAAAAATATAATTTGCTTCACAGGCTGTACAAAAAAGTAAGTGAGCCTAGTTTGGCCCACAAGCCATAGCCTTGCTCTGAGGTAAGTCAGTCCTTGCTTCTCGCTTGCCCAAAGCGAAACATAATCTTGGTTTTGAAGCAAGCACACCAAACCAAGTTACTAAAATGGTGCTGCTACTGTCGTTTCAGAGCTGCTTTGGCTCATCTCTCTAATAACTAAATAGCAACTGCTAATGACTAAACATTGCCCAAGTGTCCAAGTGGTAGAGGATTCTTTTAACCATAGAACCCTCCATCATAATTTCTTAACCATAAGGAAAATGGTCTAAGTATGGTCCAATTAAATCCATAACCCTACTTGCGTGCAACTCCAAAATAATCAGATGTGAGTGGCTATGGAACCCACACACACAAATGAACATCAGAAGGCCTGGTGTAAAACTATTAATTTCAAGGGGGTAAAAAACACTAGTAAAGTTACTTCACAAGCAACACGGTTTATAAAGTAAATCCAAGATCCTGGAATATGGGGGACTTGGGGGGGAAGGGGGTAAGTTTACAGTTGTTTATGTGGAAAATAATACAATAAATAATAATACAAAAATAAACTTTCATGTCCTCACAACTATAAACCCAATTTTGCCTATTGCACTTTACCTCACTGTGGTTTCTATACCCACGTTTCTTTTGCTCATTTTAACCTTATTCATGGACATTTTCATAATGTAGCTGTATAATTTCAAAATAATGTCAAGATTGATTATTCTAAGGAAAAGAGCTAATCTCCCCCTAAATATACAGAAGACACCAGATCAAGTCTTCACCTTGGAGAAATTAGCTGCCAAACTGTTAGGGGAACTGGTTACAACAAACATACACACATGCACACTAACACACATGCACACGTGAGCATCTGAGAAGCATAACGACAAAAGTGAAGTATCTGAAACCAATATTCGTTTTCCTTAGAACCTGACACAGTAAACAGCATGGAAGGACCTGGGGAGTAGTATGCTGAGTGAAATGAGCCAGTCAGAGAAAGACAAATATCACATGATCTCACCTACATGTGAAATCCAATGAACAAAATAAACTTACAAACAAAATAGGTCAGAGATATGGACTCATGGGATAGACTGACAGATCTCAGAGGCAAGGAGGGTGGAGGTGGGGGGCAGAAAGAAATTAACCAAAAAATGTATATGCCCAGCCCTTGGACACAGATAATAATGCAGTGGAGGACTGGGGTGGGGCCAGGGCCGGGTGGAGGAGGGCAAAGGGGGAAAAATGGGGAACATCTGTAATACTGTCAACAAAAATTTTTTAAAAAATTTTTAAAGGTACACCACTAAAAAGGCTATGTTCTGAGGCTGTATCTATGGCTATAATTCTACCCAGATTCCATAAAAATCAAAGAATTCAAAACAACAATGAGGTACCATCTCACACCTGTCAGAATGGCTATCATCAACAAATCCATGTAATAGAATCAGGGACATAGAAAGGGAATGGACTGACTATTCTTGGGGGCGGGGGCGCGGAAAGGGGTGTGGGGGTGAGGGAAGAGATTGGACAATAATCGTGCACCTATGGATGAGGACAGTGGGTGGGGAGTGAGGGCGGAGGGTGGGGTGGGAACTGGGTGGAGGGGAGTTATGGTGGGAAAAAAGAGTAACTAATGTAATAATCTGAACAATAAAGATTTAATTGAAAAAAAAACACAAATCCACAAACGACAAGTGCTGGAGCGGATGCGGAGAAAAAAGAACACTCATGCACTGCTGGTGGGAATGCAGACTGGTGTAGCCACTGTGGAAGACAGTATGGAGTTTCCTCAAAAAACTGAAAACGGAACTCCCATTTGACCCTGTGATCTCACTTCTAGGAATATATCCCAAGAAACCAGAAACACCAATCAGAAAGGATATATGCACCCCTATGTTCATAGCAGCACAATTCACCATAGCTAAGATCTGGAAACAGCCTAAGTGCCCACCAGTAGATGAATGGATTAGAAAACTGTGGTACATCTACACTATGGAATACTATGCTGCTGTAATAAAGAAGGAACTCTTACCATTTGCAACGGCATGGATGGAACTGGAGAGCATTATGCTAAGTGAAATAAGCCAGTCAATGAAGGAAACACACCACATGATCTCACTCACTCATGGATAATAAAGACCATGATAAACTTATGAACAAAAATAGATACAGAGGCAGAGCTGCCTCGAACAAACTGTCCAACTACAGCGGGAAAGCCGGGGATGGTTGAGGGGCGGCAGGGGGGGGAGGGGGGGTGTAAGAGATCAACCGAAGGACTTGTATGCATGCATATAAGCATAACCAATGGACATAAGACACTGGGGGGTAGGGGAGGCCGAGGGATTGTTAAGGGCGGGGAAAAAAAAAGGAGACATATGTAATACTCTTTGTAATACTTTAAGCAATAAAACAATAAAAAAAAAAACAATAAAAAAAATCAAAGAACTGAAAGGTTTTCGTTTTTTAAAATCCATCCAATTTTATGAGCACCGAAGGCATCAAGCATGCTGTAGAGGCAGCAGGACAAGGGTTAGAACAAACACCTGCAGCTGAGAGACTCGCTCACCCATACGGGCATTTCATCAGAAATACGCTGCCTTTTTGCCCTAGCCAGGCATTATTCAACCAGCTGCTGAAAACGACATTTCTAATTCATCATTTTACACCATGATCTGTGTTCCAGATGGAGATGGGACATTTTGGTAAGTTTACATTATCACTACAGGACGCCAGAGTTATCTAAAAATGACTAGCTATGTGAGTCATTAATTCACAGCAAAGAATGTGGTTTTACAACTTATCACCTACTAGCTTTATGTTCACTCCTAACAATACCATAGGAGTGATTACCTAACAAATTGCAATAGCTGTGGGATTACCCTCCCCAAGAAATATGGGAATATATTATTTCCTTTAAAAGTAGAAAAAGGGCCATTATAACTATTTGTTAATTAAGAACTAAATGCTATTTTTCTAAATGAATTGTTTTACCTCCTTAGATAATTCTTTGCTTTCATTAAAATGCATGAAATCGACCTGAGTGTAAACTCGCTGCACCCCTTGGCATAATAAGAAACACAACAGAGGAAAATGAGAAATCTGTGAAAATGATGTGACACAAAATGGGGAGTAAGTCGTTTCTGCTTTCCCGAGTGGAAAGCAAGCTAGACAAGCCCACACCCTGGCTGAGTTCAAAAGCCTGTTTTCAATGAATGCAAACTGCAAACGACATCGCGGTCAAACAGGAGCTCACCCCTGACTCTGAGCTGACCTGCACCGACTTCTGCAAGTGGCACCAACGAAGCTAATGAAGAGGACGCCGCCGGCCCGGCCGGCCCGCTGCAGGCACAACTCTCAGCTTCACCCGCCCAGGTCTGGGGAAAGCCCTGCGCGACAGCCGGCACCGCGGCCTCACGCCTTCCCGCCCAGACACGGAGTTCGGAGCAGACGTCGCTTGGGTGGGAGGAAGGCTGGGGGGCGGGCGCGAGGGCCGTCAAACACGCGTTTGAGCGCTTCGGGCAAATGTCACCAGGTCAGCCCACCCCGGGGAGCTGAGGGGCTGGCGACACACGGTGACATCCCTCCACGGCCCTTTGTACGATCGGAGGTTCACCCGACAGAGAGGGGCGACTGCGGGGTACGGAGTGTCCCGGGCGTGGCTGCTGCTCCTCCCTCGGGCCCGGGCCAGGCGGTGCCCCACGCCGAGCGCCGAGGCGGCCGAGCGTCGGCGGCCCCCGCCCGGGCGCGGGAACAATGCGGGTCCGGGGCGCCAGGCTCGGCCCCTCGGCGGGGATACCGGAGGCCTCCGCAGGCGCGCAGGTAACAAAAGGCGCCGTGGGCCCCGGCCGAGGGCCCGGCGGGGAAACTTTCCGAGGCGCCGAGGCCGCCGCCCGGTACAATGGCCGCGGAGCGCGCGAAGGCCGGGCCGCCACGCCCCCGCCCAGCCGGCCGGCCCGTACCTGGTGGTTCTCCTTCCTGCCGCCCGCCGGCCCGCCCGGGCCGCTCGTCATGTTCACGTAGAGCGAGCGGGTGAGCGGGCTCCGCAGCGTCCACATCCTCCGCACCAGCCACACGGCCGCCAGGCTCAGGCTCAGGCACAGCCAGCCCGCCAGCAGTCTCATCGGGGGCCGCGCGCTCGCTCCTCTCACCGCCGGCGCCGCGGCGAGGAGCAGGACTCGCCGCCGCCTCCGGCCACCGCCGCCGCCCGGGCTCGAGCCATCGAGCCCAACTTGCCCATCCAGCCCCTGCAGGGCCGAGGCGGGTGGGCGGGGCGGGCCGCGCGCAGCCTCCCGCCGCCCCTGCCTTTCCGCCGCGGAACGCCGCTGCCGCCGGCACGCGTTTCCAGCCGGAGCACGGACGAGCGGGCGCGCTCCTTCCGCCCAATCAGCGGGCCAGGCGGCCGGGAGGCGGGACCGCGAGCGCTCCTTCTTCCGGAGTGCGCCCTCGCCCAGCTTGGCCGGTACTCCCCGTCATGGCGGAGGTGGGTTTAGTTTCTTCGGCAGGTGCGCTCCCTTCCGAAGGCGGTGGCTAAAGCCTCCAGGCCCTTCCGGGGTGGTGGCCGCAGGATTCCTGGCCTTCCCTCGCCGTAGTGGTTGTCTCTGGGCCGGAATTTCACCTGGGTGTGCACACTGGCCAGGCCTGAGGGGCGTCGCACCTCCCGGACACTCAGACCAAGGCCTTGGCGACCGGCACTGCCAGGTCTTCGCTGTTCCTGGCTCAGCTGCGTGGCTTCCTATTCACATTCAGAACCTACGACGACGACGAGCTAGGCCCGCACCCAAAGGCGTCCACCCTTTGCCGGGACTGCAAATCAGACAGGAATTTGAGGAGAAACGATACCACCTCGCCCGGTCCCTGAGCCAGGCTGGTTGCTACTGGTTGCCAAGAGGCATCAATGAAAGCTCTGGCTCTGTTGAAGCTGCTGCAGCTGGGGCACCTGCAAGCCGCGTTTGGGCGTATTGATGACCCTGTCCAAGAATGAAGACCCGCCCGTAGCAGCACAATTTACAATATTACAACAACTAAGATTTGTAAACAGCCTAAGTGCCCATCAGCAGATGAGTGGATTAAAAACTGTGGTACATCGACACAATGGAATACTATGCTGCTGTAAAAAAGAAGGAACTCTTACATTTGCAACAGCATGGATGGACCTGGAGAGCATTATGCTAAGCAAACTAAGCCAGTCAGAGAAAGAGAAATATCACATGATCTCACTCGTATGTGGGATATAATGAACAACATAAATTGGTGAACAAAAACAGATCCAGAGGAAAAAAATATTTTAGAATATAATAGGAGTAATCCTGTTATTTGCAGATTTTTAATATTTCCTACAACTTGTGATATTAATGTTAGTACAGTTTTGGTAGTAATTATATTTAAAATCTTTTCTTGAAATATTAATGTTTATTGCATATAACATTTTAAATCGTTTTTCTTGAAATATTAACGTTTATTGCATGTAACATTGTATTTCAAATCATTTTTCTTGAAATATTAATTTTTTTGCATGGAAATGGCTATTTTGTATATACACTCTGGTAATAGATTTATTATGTATATTGTAAAAAGTCAAATGAAATAAAGAAAAAAAGAAAGCCATTGGAGGGCTTAAATACAGGGCAAAAAGAAATATAAAAAAGACAAAATAAATGAACAAACAAAGCAGAAACAAACTCATAGATACAGAGAACAGATTGTTGGCAGCCAGATGAAAGGGATGGGGAGCTGGGGGAAAACAGTGAAAGGAGTAAGTCAAATTCGCAGTTATAAAATAGGGATATAAAGCACAGCATAGAGGATATAGTCAGTAATATTGTCATAATGTTATTACAATATTGAATTATCAGAGGATCGATCACTTTATCCTATATAATAAAAGGGTAATATGCAAACTGACCCTAACAGCAGAATGACTGGGAATGACTAGTCACTATGACACACACTGACCACGAGGGGGCAGACGCTCAATGCAGGAGCTGCCCCCTGGTGGTCAATGAGCTCCCACAGGGGGAGCTCTGCTCAGCCACAAGTGGTGATGGTGGGAGCCTCTCCTGCCTCCTCAGCAGCGCTAAGGATGTCCAACTGCAGCTTAGGCCTGCTCCCTGCTGGCAAGTGGACATCCCCCGAGGGCTGCCGGGCTGCCAGAGGGATGTCTGACTGACAGCTTGGGCCCAATCCCCCAGGGAGCGGGCCTAAGCCAGCAGGTGGACATCCTCTGAGGGGTCCCAGACTGCAAAAGGGCACAGGCCGGGCTGAGAGACACCCCCCCCCCCCCCCCCCGCACTGAGTACACAAATTTTTGTGCACCAGGCCTCTAGTAAGTTAGATAAATGTCTATGCTGTATATCTAAAACTACTAATATTGCATGTCAACTAATTGAAAAAATGTCATTTTAATTTTAAAAAGTCAAACATGTTTAACAAGTTTAAAAAATCACTGCAAGGGACACTTTAACATGTACGGGAATAGAATGTGAATTGTGTCTCAATAAAAGGAGAAATGCAGTAATAGAAAAAAAAATAAGAAAAGAACAAAGACCCCAAGTGAGAGTCCCGGGCTGCAACCAACAGCCGGAAGATGGCACAACTCTCACCGGGCACTGAGCTCTGGGAGCACACTACCCGGATGTTTCTTTGGTCATTTATAGCCCGGGAGGCCTAGCAACGTTTCAAAACTGAAGGGTTGCACTGTGTTCCTGTATCTGAAGTTCCTGCTGCAACTAAATACAACCAAGCTGCAACTAAGGGGTAACGCAGTTCATGGGTTCCCTAACTTCCTAGATTTGTTTAGAAAATGCGGTTAATTTAACCGCACTGGAAATAATGTACATACATTTTATCTTCGTTCAAAAGAAATTAGCCTGTTAACTCCAGTGTTGCACTTCAAAAGCTGTTATTTATGAAACAAAGTTGTTCTTTACCCACAAACATTTTTATTAGCTTCTAAGAATCTCAGGTTGGCACCTTTCGCCAACAGGCATCTTGTTGCCAAACGTGACATAGACAATATCAACAACAACAAAGAAGAGTGGGGCAGGACCGGGAAGGTACTTCGTGTTCTCTCTTTCCAGCGTACTCCCTGAGTGCTTCCTGCCAAAACCCCGGGACCTGCATCTTACTAAATCTAGTTCAGACCTCTAGTGGTCCTGGCCCAAATCATCAAAAGGGAACTATAGTGGCCCTAGCCAGTTTGGCTCAGTGGATAGAGCGTTGGCCTGCAGACTGAAGGGTCCCAGGTTTGATTCTGGTCAAGGGCACATGCCCAGGCTGCAGGCTTGATCCCCCGTAGGGGGAATGCAGGAGGCAGCTGATCTATGATTCTCTCTCATCACTGATGTTTCAATCTCTCCCTCTCCCTTTCTCTCTCTTTGAAATCAATAAAAATTTTCAAAAGGAACTATAGTAGTAAGTCCAAATAACTCAGTTTATTTACCACGTCACCTCTCCCTCCTGTCTCCTGGGATTAATGTCAGATACAGCAACTTTGTGCCCCAAGCAAAATAAAAACCTTTAAAGGAGGTGGATTGGGGAGGTGGGCGAAAGTAGCAAGAGTATATAAAATTACATATTTCATTTCTAAAAACAAAGGAAACAAATAAGCTTGTCCCTCATCTATAAGCCTGATGAACGGCAGCTCAGAGACTGCAAAATGTGTCCCATGAACAAGAACAACTAGATGGCTGCTGTGGTCTGAAGGATTGGAGGTCAGCTGACTGCCACAGCCCAGCATCTCAAAAGAAGCAGATTTTCACTTCATACCTGAGCAACGGGTCTGGAAAATTACTCGCTCACCCAGTATAATGCTCTATAATACTCACAAAACACTCAAGCACATGTTATGCACACTTAGCAAGCACAGGGAGAAACCAAAGCACAGTGATCAAATGAGCAAATTCAATGGCAGACCTTTTCATAGCGCTTGGCATCCCAGCCCGTGGTCCTTTGCTCCATCTGAGAAGTCTCGCTCGCTCTCCTCAGAGAGCCTCCTGCATTACAAATGAAGAGGAAGGGGGAACAGCAAGAGTAAATATGCTAAGCAGAAGTTGAGATTGCCCTCCGGAACTGCCCCCTTCCTTCATCTGCCAGAACTAGACTGTCACTACTGCATATTAAAGCCTAATTCTCCAGCATGGAGAGGGGAAGAGGCACAGATAACACACAAAAACAAATATGAGCCAATATCCTTGCTAATATGGCTTCGAAATGCAGGCAGTGATATTCCAAAGACTAAGTGCCACCCTCTGTGCTGAACTCTGCCTAGCTTGGGTCACAGCACTGCACAGGCCCCAAATCTTGACTGGATCACTTTCCCATCTAGAGTTCTAGGTGAGGGGCTTTTTGTTGTAATTGTTCCTACCAGCTACAAATTATGGCATTTTCATGTTTTCTTTTCAAACACAAAGTAAAGTGTAAAGAGAACCCATAGGGAGAGAGACCTGGATCTCTAGAAGGCAAAAATCATGCCAGTCACTGTTGGTCGTTGGCATCTCCCTGAAGAATTAACAATCTAAAAAGAACTCAAAGGCTGAATTGGCCCCGGTGAGGTTGAAACGGCCTATGTGAGGCTGAGATGGCCCCAGTGAGTCTGGGACAGCCCCAGTGAGGCTGAGATGGCCCTGGTGAGGCTGGGACGGCCCCGGTGAGGTCGAGACAGCCCCGGTGAGGCTGGGACGGCCCTGGTGAGGCTGAAACGGCCCCGGTGAGGTTGAATCAGCCCCGATGAGGTTGAAACTGCCCCTGTGAGGTTGAGGCAGCCCCTGTGAGGCTGAGACAGCCCCAGTGAGGCTGGGACGGCCCCTGTGAGGCTGAGATGGCCCCTGTGAGACTGAGATGGCCCCTGGGAAGCTGAGAAAAATACCACATGAACTCACTCATTTATGGATAATAAGGACCATTATAGGCTGATGAACAAAAATGGATACAAAGGCAGAGCAGCATTGAGCAGACTGTCAAACTACAGTGGGAAGCCTGGGGAGGGTTGAGGAAGGTAGGAGATCAACCAAAGGACTTGTATGCATGCATATGAGAATAACCAATGGACACAAGACACTGGGGGGTGGGGCAAGCCGGGGGAATGTCAAGGGGGGCGGGGGGGAGGAGACATGTGTAATACTCTTTGTAATACTTTAAGAAATAAAAATAAATAAAATAAATAAAAACCATGATAATATTATGAAGACTAAAAAAAAAAAGAAAATAATCACATGTTTTCATGGACTTAGATTTTTTATGCTTCGTAACAATGTTGTAGAGTATCAGAGAAAGGAGCAAGTTTTCCTCAATATATTCAGTAGATGTGTCCAA